TTATTAAACATATATAAGAATTCCTAGCAGAGTTTTTATTTGAAATATCATGATTATTTTATTAGTTTTAAAATTCCCACCAGCGTGACTATTTTGGATAGCACCGGTACTTGTCCTTAATTTTTAATGCCACTGGACATAGGTAATCCTTTATTATCTTTGAATTGTCATGCATTCTTGGGAAAGACAATGAAATGGTTTCCCATTGCTTTCTTCATAGTTTGGAATTTAAAGATTGCCTTCTCTTAGACTGTACTAAGTAGTCATCCAGAACCTGGTCTACAGATGTAAGAATATTCGTTTTAACTAAAGTTGCTAGCATAGAACCATCATTGATACATCTAGTCCAATATGCAGAGCCAATTCTCTGAAATGATCATCCATCTTCTTGAAGGGTCCTGACTCAATCCTTCTCTTTTTTTTTATTTTAATCATCTCACCCCAAGTAAGGAAATAAAGCTACAAACATAAGGGGTTACTGAGTGTAAGAGAATATGACATAAAGAAAACATTATTAAGGCATGAAAACAATAAAAAAAAAAAAACGGGAATTTAGAAGACAGAAGACAACAATCGATATTGCATTTGAATTTCTGAAGATCAAAATTGACTGGAAAGTAAAAAATGGAAGAGTGAAAAATGTGAAAGAAGAAACCGTTAACATAGAACTTACATTTACATCTAGTGATTTCAACTGCAAAATGAAAACCTTGTAAGTCAATCTAGTAGTATGTTTAAATTCATAAAGTCTAGGTACCAAAGAGGAAAGCTCATCAGAACAATTACCATGAAAATATTTATAGAAAAGTTACAGGGAAGCTTTGTTACAGTGATGGAAAAGTGACTCAAGCCAAGATGCCAGATCTGGATCAATGACATTGCAGATTTTTTTTCTTTGTATTTTATCTCAGATTCAGTCATTTTTCCACTGCTGTAACATAGATTTCCCCTGCCTTTTCTTTAAATATTTTCATGGCAATTGTTCTGATGACTATTCATTTTTGATATCTCAACTTCACAAATTTAAGTGTAGTACTAGATTTCATTTTACATTTGAAATGGCTAACCATAAGCTCTATGCAAACAGTTTCTTCTCTTGCATTTTGCACTCATAAATCTCTTTTCTGGATTTTTGCTTCCCTGTCAGCTACGATCTTCAAAAATTTAAATGCAATGTCAATTGTCATCTTCTGTCCTATTGAATCCCTTCCTTTTTTATTATCTTCTCTTGTCAATAACATTTTCTCATTTTCTTTATCTCTTAGTAGCCTCTTGCGTCCTAGTGGCTTTATCACCTTGCTAGGAGGGATTTAAAAAAAAAAAAAATGTGCATCACCATCTAAAGCTCAGATATATACTATGTACTGGGACGAATATTACAAGATGATTGAAAAATTGGAATATTTTGTCTGATTATCTATTACTCACATGCAGGGTCAGTGCAAGGGTTTTGTGGGTCCCCTTTGAATCTATGATATGCCCACACTGAATGTATGGTACAGGGCTTCTACTCTATACTACATCTCAATTTTTATATCGTCTTCATATAAAATACAAATTTTATTGTAACCTAATTATGTACAATAATGGATCATATGCAGTATAGGTGAACAATTCAACTAGAAAAATTGGAAATAAATACAATGTATGTAAATACAAATTAGAGACATGTCATAATAGATCATTCCATCTATATATATATATATATATAAAGAGCAGTTGTGTACGTGTGTGTGTGTGTGTGTGTCCGTGTTCAGCTAAAAATAAAAAACTACAATAATTAATATAAATATATAGATATATGTAGATATATGTGGTGTGTGATTGCAGGTCCGTCGCAAGGTCTCCTGCATGCCACCGAATCTATGATACGGGGCCCCACTATACTACATCTCAATTTTTATAAGGTAGCATTCATATAAAATACAAATTTTATAATAATCTAGTTTTGGACAATAATGGATCATATGCAATATAAGTGAACAATTCAACTAGAAAAATTGAAAATAAATACAATGTATTTAAATACAAATTAGAGACATGCCATAATAGATCATTCCATAAAAATTAAGAACATGTCATAATAGATCATTCCTTCTTAAATAAATCAACAATGTTTTGCAGGAATTTTTTTAAATCAACTTGAGATTTTTCTTGTTAAAAAGTTGAATAATTTAAATACATTCAATATTATCGATAAAAAAAAGTGTATTTTATGTAGTGCTTTGTTTTTTTTTGTTTTTTTTTTTAGACTTAGCATAAGCAAAATAAATTCATGGATTTGGATATGAAAAAAAACTCCCAGAATGATGTCAAAATTCATGGGAATTTTATCATCCATTAATAGTCAGTTGTGCTTAATTTAATTTGTAATGTATATAAATGTAGGCAGAAAAAAAAGCAAATGTTGATAAGATAGCGAGGGACTGCCTGGGATCCCCAATCGAGACCCCCCCCCTCTGGTAGGGATGGGGGAGTTGTTGGTAGTACATACCAGCCCTGCTCACATTCTTGTGTCAGGGTCACAATCATTTTGGATTATTGATCTCGTTATTTTCTGTCGGTATATATTGTATAACTGACATTAGTGTTAAAAAAAAACACTGGTAATAAATTGCCCAACTTGTTTTTATTTCAAATGAAATTACGAAAGTGCAAAACATCTTACTTACTGCATTTACATTGTTCGGACTGTTCACAACATTTCGGCTGTTGTATGCTCCATCCTTCTTCAGGCGATTGGAATTTCAACCAAACCCTTTATTTCATCCACCAGGGTAGATTGTTCTAGTTCCATGTGCCATGCCTCTTCCAGATCTCTCAGTTATCTCCCTTTAACTCAACTTTCTACTGTACCCAGGTATTGAATTCAGAATTCTTTGGGTCAAGTCGTTGGATCCAACTAACGCTTTTATCCATTCGGCCATGGGTCCTTGAGGAACTGAGACAACCGGAAGTGGCATGGCATGTAGAACTAGAACAATCTACCCCAGTGGATGAAATAAAGGACCAGTTTGAAATTCCAATCACCTGAAAAAGGTCAGAGCATTAAACAGCCGAAACGATGTGAACATGACAATAAAGATGAAGACAACATTCTGAACAATGTAAATAATAATAATAAAAACTGATCTCAGAAATATAGACAGAAATATGACTTCTTTTACATTATTTTTTACAAATATACAACTTGAGTTAATGGCATCTAAGAGAAATATAATGTTGTTGATGACAGCATAAAGATAAACACCTGTACATATTGATTCAAAGTTGTCTGCTATTAAAAAGAAAATGATACAGACACTTCTCCCTTGATGACAACTGACAACAGCTATAAAACTTTATAAAATAAAATAAATAAATCCAAGCAGTCTATTGTACTATATGAAAACTTTGTTGATGATTGTGTTCTCTTTCTTGCAAATGAATCAAAATAAATAGATAACCAGAAAACTAAATAATTTACTTATATTGTATTTATAGTATACAAACAAAAATAATGTACAAAATATAGAGTGAATTTTTGAATTGGTTTATTAGTACACTACCATACCATATAGATTTGATCACCGTCCGGTTCACACTCTTCCCCAGGCTTTTGAACAGGAGTAGAGATTTATCCTTTATTTCCTGTTTAGGGTTGGGTTTCTTGTTCCTTCTAAAGTTTTCTTTGTGAACACATAGACAAATGTGCCTGCAATAAAATGGAGTGTCAAAAGGATGGTTTTTCCCATGACACTGCTTTTTTTAAAAAAATTGCCTAGTCCCCACCCACTGTCATGCAGGCACCAGGATACTCTGACTCTTCTTGTCTTGTCTAGTTGAGGAATTTCTGTTGTAAAGTGACAATCCTTGTGACAATCTAGGTTTCCATATTTGCTGCGCTGAGATGGCACGTTCAAGACTTCATGTCCAGCAGAAACATATCTGTGAAAACGGATAGATTTGTATTTTCCAAACTCTCCCATGAGGATAGGATGTGACACAAAGTCAAGTATAACTTTGAAATTATAGGTCTTGGAAAATCATTTCTGTAGATATTAAATAAACTAAGCATTGCTATTTGCTTAGTAAGTAGTTTCACCAACCCAGCACTTTAATTAAAACTTCAGATCTGTATGCTTGTTCAACCACTGAGGCAGGCTGTAACTACTAGCTGTAAATGTTACTAGGTAAATTTTATTTATATCACTGTTTGCTAAGGCTCTAGAAATGAGGCCTTATGTCAGACTGATTACTCCAAGTACTTGTTCTATTCTACTGATGAGGCAATTTGCAGCACAGCACCAGGTGTGGATCGAATTCACTCATAATGATGTCCAAGTTTGCTTTCTACATAGTTTGCGTTTGTTGAGAGGGTGCTGAAAAGTTTTCAGCTCAACCCAATGCCCCCAAATCTGACCAAATGACCACATCATTTTCTCTTACTTTTAAAGGGATTTTGTGGTCAGGCCAAGAACTTTTCAGATACCCTACATACCTTTGTGCATGTGTTATTTTGCTTATTTTAAATTCAGATTTCAACTCATATTGTCTCTTCCCTCTCTATCTGTGCCATATCTCATTAGGATGTAAACGATCATGTTTCTCCACAGCTTCCTGTCTTTTGTTGCTCTTAACAATACATACTCCATCTATTTGCTCAAATATGTGAAACAGTTACTTGTTATTTTTCTGTTTCTGTTTTGCCTTTGATGTGCCCTGTGAGTGTTAAATTCTCCAATACTTCTTTCTTCATTATGTGTCTCTAAAATTTCATCTGTCTTTTTTTGATTGCTTGCAACAATTTCTTTGTATTTCCTTATCTCCTTAAAACTTCTTCATGCCTGGTGCTCTCAAATTTAAGATTTTACAAGTATTAAACTGATCTCTAGAGATAAGGACTTACCCCAACTGCTGACACCACTTTTCATGGTGATTATTGCAACATTCTTCACCGAACCAGGATTTTACAAATCCCGTCTGTAATAAACCCATTTGATGGTTAACAGTGTCTTGACATGGGTATCCTCAGAACCGAAAAGTTTGATTTGTTCACTGCTGCTGCTGTTTGCACCTTTGGGTGAATTTGTTACTGTAATCTCTAATTACTATGAGTCTTTATAAGAGGGCCAAAATGTGAACCTTACACATCTTATCCCACAGCAGTTGTGAAAGAGGGAGGGATGAACATGGAAACAGGCACATTCATACATGGAATGATGGTTCCAATGAGAGCCTTTTCCAGTTGAAAGAATCATTTAAAACACAAAATAAATGTAGACAGAAACAAAGTGGCTTCAATGCAATTATTTTTCACAATGCATTCTCTCTATGTTTCTTTCTCTTTATTATATATTATGTGCTTCTTTTAAACTTTCCCCTTCTTTCATTAGCTTTATTCTCCTCCTTCTCATCTAACTTTTTCTTTTTTCCCTCACTTTCTTTTATTTTATTGACTTTCTTTTATCACTGTTTTCTCTCAACATTTTATGCTTCTTTTTCATTCTTTCTTTACTTCTTCCTTATTCTTTCTTTCTGTTTCTATCTCACTATCTTATCTCTCTTTTTCTTTCTTTCTTATTCTTTGTTTTTTCTTTCGTTATCACTTTTCTATCTCATCTTATTCCTCCTTTTTTTCTTTCTTTCTTTCTTTCTCATCATCTTATCCCTACTTTTTCTTTCTATCATTTTGTTAATTCTTCCCTTATTAATTTTACATTTTTTTCTTTCTACTTTCACCCTCCTTCTGTGAGTTATTATTTCTCTCTTCTTCCTTTTTCTGACAGATTCTTTCATTTCCCTCTTTTTCTTACTCATTATTTTTTTTATTTTTTATTTACCGGTTATTGCTTCTTTTTTTTTCTCTCTCTCTCTCTGTTTTGATCATTTATTTGTGATTGTCCTTTCTTTTCCTAATCTTTCTTTTAGGTCCTCTCATTTCTATCACCCACTTTTTTCTCTTCTACCATATTTTTTTTTTTTTTTTTTTGTTGTTTGATGTATTCCAATTCCCACTTATTTATCTTTCTCAAATCTAATCTCTGCTTCCTTTTCTCAGCATGAAAAATCCCCCTCCCAATCTCCCTCCCTCCCCCCAAAAAAAAAAAAAAATGTCAACATTCTCATAAAAGATTTGCAGAATGATCCATTCCATCTTTAAGCTTCTGGCGATGAAATCAAAAATCCTTCTGACACTGAGACCAAACAAGCCCATTGACTTCATCAGCTATATTTCTTTTAGTCCATGAAAAGGTTTCCTTCATTTTTAATACATTTTTTTTTTTAATTTTTAATTCAGTTCATGTTTACATCTTATAATGTTGGGACACCTCAAATTCTTAGAGATATACACTCAAAAATGTTTTTATTTATTTAATTGAAAATATCAGAGTAACTGCTAGCAAAGGAACCATTTTTACCCTGGATCAATTTATTTTATTCATTTGCTTAAGTTTTCTCTGATGAAGTAATAGGCCCTTTATTGAATGAACAAATCCCTCTTCTGCCCAAAGCCTGTTTATTATGTTGTTTTTTTATGATGTATATATCGGACATTTTCTATCCTTACTATAAACAAGCAAAGACATCAGTAGTTCACACACGCAGAAATAGAGAGACAGAAAGAGAATCCAATTATTATGACCAGCTCTCTCCATGTGTCTCAGTTGCATGTCAATGTCTGAGTCTCTTTGAAGTATCTTCCAATTCAATTGGTAATATTGTCAGCCCATTTTTCCTCTATCTCCTTTTTTGCTTAAGGTGGTACCTTGTTGGCTTTTAGGACATATCCAAACTATTTCAATTTGTGCTTCTTGATGATACTTAGTAGGTTTTCCAATGGGCCAATTTCTTGTTTGATTGCGTCTTGCACTGCATGATGCATCTACATGGGAGATGACTAGAATCATTCTGTAGTGTTTCATTTTTAATTGTTAATTATATCCTAGTTTTCTTAAATAAACCTTTTATGCAGCTGATGTGGCAGAAAACAAAAACTTTAAAAATTATGCAATCAATCCAAAATGATTGTTCTATTTTCAGTCCCAAAAGATCAAAAGAAAATTGAACATAAAAACACCATGCATTTGTTTGCACATCTTATATGTGCCACATCCCTTCCAAACATGAGCAGTCATGGCTCTCCACAACTTCCTATCGCATATGGTCCTCTCACCACCTGTTTTGATATCCACTGAATCAAGCCATCAGGTAGGTGGCTTGCTATCTTCTCTTACCTTCAATATGTCCTGTGAGGATTAAATGTTTTGCATAGCATATGCAGTAGTGTCTCTGGGTTGGGAATCAGCCCCCACCCCAAAAAATGAATTGTAAATTTGTCAGGGCAAAAGATGATTATTCTCAGAGCAACTTGGAAAATTTTCATGGCAAATTCTTCCACCCGGCCCCCAACTCATAAATCCCATCCAGACATTCATATTTTATATAATGTCTGCATTTTTACCACCCTTTGCATTTTGTCATATATGTGTAATGCATCTTTTGTCTTATGTGTGTGTGCTCTGCACACACACATACATACATACATACATACATACATACATATATATATAAATTACACATATGCCTACATTTAGCTTTACCAATCATTAGGTACAAAAAGTTACTTTTGTACCTGATGATTGGCAAAGCTATGAAACTCTTGAGTCATACTGTAAACATAGGCATATGTGTAATTAATAATAATATATACTTTACAGCTCTGTTTTACTACATTGAAAACTGTTTTGTCTACACTTTTGATTAAACAAATACTTATTTGCTCACCTGTATGTGTACATAATTGCTCATATATATGGTTGATTGTATCTCTTTATTAGATCATTTCTACATCTATATATATCTATATCTATATCTATATCTATCTATCTATCTATCTATATAGATAGATAGATAGATAGATAGATATATAGATATCTTACTCCTAGGTAAGATCATTGCACGATATCTTAGCCCTAGGCCATTGTCACACAGCAGAGAGGAAGAGAATTTTAACATTTTTCTCTATACAAAATATGCCAGCGGCTTGGAGAACACAATTCATACGTGAAGAGTAATGCTTAATAGCAGTAGGAGTTACTGTTTTTAAAATCCCCTTTTCCTAGAGAGCTCAACTGGATTTCGGGAGCATAGACTGACTGTTTCACTGTATCATAGCTCCTCAGTGTGGCTAGACATCCAATTGCTTCAAGCCAGGATTGAAACCAAGTGATTTGGCATCAGTATATATATATATATATATATATATATATATATATAATATTATTATTATTATCATATTATTATATTTTTAATATATATATATATATATATATATATATATATATATATATATATTGATTTTGATCTTATCTGTATTTGTAGTTTCTTGCTGTTAGACTTATAATTTTTTCTTTCATTTCCTATGTCACCATGACATTAATACTCTCACAGTATAACCTTGAGGACACAAAAAAAAAAGCCTATTTGTATTTCACTTTCCAGAATCAACAAAAAATCCACTAATAATAATGACACTCTTTCTGTTAAATTTGCTAAAGAAAATTTAAACAAAAAAAACTATTCCCTCCCCCATGTATACACCCACACAAGAACAAGCACTTACACGCTGGAACACATTTATCACCCCCCCTCCCCAACCACTCCCATCCTCCTACTGCACGACAAACAATTTTATTGTGACAAGACAGTGACCATGTTAGTCATCACAAAGTCGGCTTGATATTAACATGTTATCTAGAAATGTGGTTTCTTTTTCGCATTTCACTGTTTTGTCTTTTATGTCTTTTGTTTACATTATCATCTCTTCTCACCTCCTCTTTGCTCTCTCTCTTTTTCCCCCAGACACATTCTTTCCTATTTTTCTTTTCTGTTTTCCTCTTTGCTTGTCTTTTACTATGTCCTCCTCTTTTCTCTTTTTCCTCCTTTTTTCCTTTTCTTTGTTTTTCCTCTTCCCTCCTTTCTTTTTTTCCTTCCTTTTCTTCTGTCCTTCTCTTTCCTCTTTTACACATTCCTTCTCTTTTCCTCTTTCTTTTCATTTTCATCTCTTTCCTCCTCGTTTCTCATCTTTTCCTTATCTTTTTCTCTTTCCTTATCTTTCCTTTTTTTCCTTCTTTTCATCTTTCCTTCTTTTCATCTTTCCTTCTTTTTTCTTCTTTCCTTATCTTTCCTTCTGTTTTCCACTTTCATTCTGTTTTCCGCTTTCATTCTCTTTACTTCTCTCTCCTTCTCTTTACCTCTTTCGTTCTCTTTACTTCTCTCCTTCTTTTTACCTCTTTCCTTCTCTTTACCTCTTTCCTTCTCTTTTCCTCTTCTGTCAAGGTGAAACAATTACTTTACTTCAGGGCTCTTTTGTTTTGTTTTCTTTTAATGAGATCATTACAAGAAGCTGGCAATTTCCAATTCTAAATTAACTGTGTTCTGTTTTCGTTACGACATCACAAACGGATTCTTTGAATCCAGAAGTGGCCAAGGTCGTGATGTTTTCTTTTCTTATTTTTAATTCGTCTCCGTTTTAAACGGCAGAAAATTTGTTTTTTTTTTTTTTTTTTTTTTTTTTTTTTTTTTTTTAAATTTGATAATCTTTTTACAATTTTCAATATCATTTTTCTTTCTTTAGTTCTTTCTTTCTTTTTTTTTTAAATTCCAAAATAACATTTCAAAAAAGTAGTGTAAATTGATAAAATTTCTATCAGGTTGAATTGTTGTCTGGTCAAGTGTTGATACAAAAGTACTATATGAAAATGACCAATGTCTCTCTAGTTTATTTTCTTTATCTCATGTGAAATCTTGTGCCTGTTGATTGAAGATTGTTGGGGCCTTGCTTTGGCAGTGTTTACTTATATTTTTAATGTGGGTAGAGTATAGGGGTTGCTGTCATGAAAAATCGTAACATCAAGCTGGGTTCAAATCACCACCTTATCTTTTTGGTTCTCTTTCATACAAATGTTCTTGGAAAAGGCATGAATCTCCTTCCCTTGTAATTATTGATTATTGTGAATCCCAAGGCAGAAAATTAATAATTAATAATTCTGTTTAAAATATTCAACAAAGAACATATTTCTTCCCCCACCAAATACTGGGTTACACTGCACTTTATATAAAATTGCTAAAATAAATGAAAACTTAACTAAGAAATAAAAATTGTCATTACCCCCAATTGATTGATTAGTTTTTTTTGTGTTTTTCTTTTACAACTTATCAACCTTTTTTTGAGTTATTTAAAGCTGAAAAATATGGAATTTAAAATTTTTTTTTTTTTTTTGCATGAATATTACAATTTTGTGAAACACATTGCTGTCACCACAGCTTAAACTCATCACCTGTGTTCACATTCACTGTTTGCTCTGCATAAACGTTCAACAAACATCAGGGAATGACAATAAGTGTAATTTGTTTTTCCTGCCAGGAAGAATGCAATGACATACTTCTGTTTTGAATGCACTTTCATGTCAGATGTTATTCTGCCAGACTCCCATTCAGCTGTTATTTGTGATAAAGCAAATAGATTGTGAGTTATTGATGAGAAAGTTGAACCTTTACTACCATATCACCAAGATCACATTTCCTCAAAGTGACTCTCATTGTGTGTGCGTGTGTGTGTGTAGATGATAATATCGGGATCCGTATCTGGAAAGGATAATCCAAGTAGTTTTTTTTTAATATAAAATATTATAAAGATAGATCCATAATGAGAGCTCTCTGTATAGAATACAGACCAATATGTTATACATCAAGGAAAAGGTTAACACATCTCAAATACACAGTGTTTTTGAGATGTGTTAATCTTTTCATGATGTGTTCATATATATATATATATATATATATATATATATATATATATATATATATATGATAATAAAATATAGTTTTAAGGTATGCTGTATTTATGGGTTAAAATGCTCAATGACAAAGACAGAGCATATATAAATATAAAAGTAAACATTGAAGTCAGCACCCTTTTAAAGGTGACAGTCTGTTTCTTGCTAAACACAATCGTCATGGCCTGATGATGCTAAAATGTTAAATGCATAAAAAAGTGCTATCATAAAAAGTACATCATTAGAAAATTGTAAAAAAAAAAAAAAAAGCTTCAGAAATATTTTGATTTTTTTTTTTTTTTTTTTTTTTTTTATACCCTTATTGCATATGTAATAAAATTGAATTTTTAATTTGAGGTGATCTTTTCCAAGAACTAAAACAAATTAATGCCTTTTTTTCATTACTTTTTGAACAAAAGTTCATCAATTTATGACATAGAAACATAAGGTTACAAAAAATCATAAGCCTAATATATATATATATATATATATATATATATATATATATATATATAATGATTTGATGCCACAGAATGCATAAATAGATTTAAAGAGACACAATTTAGTGTTCCTTTGGTGGAGGGGTTGTGCATAGGTACCTTTCTTTCAGCCAACACTTCATCAAGGACTAATATTGGCAAAATTATATCTGAATTGTTATGAGAAAGACTAAAGTGTTGGCCAAAAGGTACCTCGGCACAAACCAAAAAAATGAACACTAAGTTGTGTATATTTAAAATATATATATATATATATATATATATATATATATATATATATATATATATATATATATATATATATATAAAAAAAAATCATAGTTATTTAAAAAAAAAAATAATACAATATTAACTCTCAAAAAAATTATTTTAAAAATTTTAAATATTTTGACTTTAAATAAACCACAAATGGTTGATAACCCATAAAAAACAAATCAATCAAACTTTTCTTTCTGTTGAGGTCTTGCTTGTTGCTCGTTGTTATTATTATTCTCATTATTATTATTATTATTGAGTGAGCGAGCAGTGAACCAACAAAGTGACGCAATATACCCATCATGACACCCAGTCTGATAAGGATATACCAGGCACATGCACCACAGGCAAATGTGTATGATATGGTGCTAAGTTTTGATAAAGTGACACATAATGTTACAAATGTATCTAAACAGGTTAAGGACCAATCAACTGACAAGCAAATCTTTGGTATATAACAAAGTATTCACAGGATAGTCCATCTTTTTTATTATTATTATTTACTTTAGTTCACACAATATAAGCCCTAAAAACCACTCAAGGTAGAACACTAAGATCATTGTAAGGGTGGTGGAATGAAGAAGGACATGCATATTATGATTGGTTAACCCTATATTTGAAGACAGACTCCTGTAGCAATCTTTTTTTAATGAGCAAATTTTTCAACAAAAATCAGTGATGATATTTTTCAAGTGTTTGTTATTAAAATAAGGCCATTTTAGTCATAGAATTATAAGCCAGTGGATTGAAGTATCTAATGTTGGCCTTAGAATATGCTCTACCCATATCATATGGCCTCAAAATTCCCCTGTATTTGATCAAATTTCAAAATTTTCTTAGGAGCTTACAACACCTATATGGGCTCGTTGAGTTCACCAGAATCTGTTCATAGCCTACATTTTGGCAGTTGGGTCCTCAAATCTATTGTTGCTGGTTGAAAGAGGCCCCCCATATCTGTTCAAGTTTCAGGGGGCCTCAAAATGTAGGTCTATCATTGGGAATTATTAAATAAGTGTATCAGTTTTAAATGTTTCTCTGGGAAATTTTATGCAAGTTTAATAATCATGGGACAAAATAATCATGCCGCAGAGAAATCTTTTTGATAAATAATAAACGTTTTGTACCAAATAAACTGGATGGGGTGAAGGAAATAATTTAATTGTGCTCACACTTGAACTTGGTACATAAGTGTTAACAGGTTCGCCTAAAAGCTCAAAACTTTTTTTTTAATCCTATCATTGGTTTTGAAAAGCCAATTAGATTTAAAAGTTAAATTTTTTACACTATGTGACAAATGATTATCTTTTATCAATATTTTTAAACTCCTTGTTTATAGTAAAAATGTTACTGCAACACATATAGACTGACTGTTATCGTCATGGGGTATGAAAGAAAATTAAATCATTCCAGTTGCTACACTTTTTGTCTTTTTATTTTCTTTTTCGTTTTGTTTCGTTGTTGTTATTTTTTGTTTTTATGGGTTTTTTGTTTTCGTTTTTTTGTAGACACTTTTTGACAAATTATGGTGCAAACTTTTAGACAGGCAAACTTTTGATAAGTCATTAGTTTTCTTGATTAAAAGACGATATTTTCAGAGAACCGCGCCAATTTTTGGTTCATTTGTTCCAGTCTTTATCGCCCCCCCCCAACTAATATTTTTTTATTTATCTATTTTTTGTTTTTACCTTTTTGATCTAAGAAATATCTCCTATCGAAAATTCTTTTGTAGGCCTATTTATTTTTGTTTCTTGTTTCTTTTTCGTTTTGTCAGAGACATTTTCTCCTCTTAATTGTAAGTCTTTTTTCATTAATCAGACACTAATTGATGCCATTCTTACTTAAGTGGGTGCTAATTCCCCCCTCTTTGCATCTAGTTTCTTTTTTCTGTCTTTAATTTATTTATTTAAAACACCTGATGCTGCTGATTTTGCATCTCCTGATTAGAAATAAAGCCATCGTCCCCGTTGAATTATCTTTACGGACACGTGAAGGCGAGGTTCTCTTCTCTTAAGCGCCGCCCTGTCCAGCCCATCGAATCTTAACTCCGCCCCAAAGTTTGTCTCTCAACAGCTTTTCTGTTTGTGGGCGCCTCGGGGTGGGATAAGTGTTAGCAAGCGTGGCTTCGTTGGTTATAAACAACTAAGAGTCGTGAGTTCGATCTTCACTGGGTGCCCATACGTGTGCAAAGGTACACTTAGTAAACAGCAACAGTTTTTTTCTTTTTTTCGACTTTTCACACTTTCTCACCTTTTCTTAATTATTGTTTATTCTATCTCTCTTTCACATATATTCTTTTTTTTATTTCACTTTTATTTTCTTTACTTCTCTTTCACTATTTTCTCGTTTTCTTTCTTTCACACTTTCTTTCTCTCTTTTGTTTTTTTTTACTTTCTTTCATTTACTCTTTTCTCGTATTCTTCTTTTCACTCCCATTTTCTTTATCTCTTTTTCTTTCATACTTTTTCTAATAGAAATTTCACACTCATTTTCTCTCTTTCTTGTCCTTATACTTTCTTTCATTCAATTTTTTTTCTCATATTCTTGTTTTCGCACTTCTTTTTATTTCTCTTTCACCTTTTTTATGGTCTTTCAATCATATTTTCTTCCTTTTTTCACTCTTTTTCTCGTATCCTTTTTCATTCACAATTTCTTTATTTCTCTTTTACATTTTTTCTCTCTCGATTTTTTTTTATTTCTCTCTTTCTTTTACTCTTTTTCTCACTTTCACCTTTTTTCGTATTCTTTTTTCTTGTTCATTCACTTTTTCTCATTCTTTCTTTCGCTCTCATTTTTTTATTTCTTTATTCTTCCATTATTTTTCTCTTATTCTTTC